GGCGGTGAGACTCGAAAATATGGAGTGTCATCATTATTTCTGTATATGGTTCCAAGGGGCGGAAGTGGTGTGGTGGCAAGGTGGCACGCTTACCACGCGCACGATGAATCCTGGGTCGTGAGTCGCCCGGGCCAACCAAGCCTTCCATCCCTCCGGGGTCGGTTAATTGGTAGACTTGTCTGGGAGGATAAAAACACTGACTTGTACATCGGCTGGCCCCGCAAGTCATTGTATAGGCCACATCGCATTCAAACGCCACTACGAATGTACAAATGGAAGTAGAATGCGTGCCGCATCCCAAAAAGGGATTGATCAACGGCAAATGCTTTATCCTTTATGCTTTTTCGTGAAAACTGATTATTTTTCCTGGTACATTCGGTAGGAGTGCTCAATTATTTTGAAGGGTGCACCTCAATGCCTTGATTTTCATCAGCACTCAGTGTTCTCGCTGAGATACTCTCCGCTGCAAAACGCACATCACTCATACCCTCGGAGAGCCCGCCTGCCTCCGACAAGGTATCTTTTCTTTTCTTTAACCTTCGACTGTATGGTGGAATTGTTTAATTCTATCCAGGGTTTAGCCAGACCCATTTCGTAGCGTCAGCTTCTATTTGATAATATTTAGGCGTTCTCCCCAGTTGTTCTTGGACAGAATAGCTGAGTAGAATCAAATGAGGTCAAACTGCACATTTCTACATGGAGATGAATGTTTTCAGATTACTCTGCACCACTTCCTAACAGTTCTCGTCATCTGTTGCTGCCGTTATTGAATGAAATGGCCGTGCTGATGCAATTTATCACAATTATTTCATGGTAGGGCGGAAGTGGTGTAGTGGCAAGTGGCGCGCTTACCACGCGAGCGGTCCGGGGATCAAATCCTGGGTCGTGAGTCGCCCGGGCCAACCAAGCCTTCCATCCCTCCGGGGTCGGTTAATTGGTACCAGACTTGTCTGGGAGGATAAAAACACTGACTTGTACATCGGCTGGCCCCCGCAAGTCATTGTATAGGCCACATCGCATTCAAACGCCACGAATGTACAAATGGAAGTAGAATGCGTGCCGCATCCCAAAAGGGATTGATCAACGGCAAATGCTTTATCCTTTACCAGTTTAGCTCCGCACGCGACTGCGCGCATCACATGTGGGATTCAGTGAGACTGGACAACTCGCAAAATATTAGGCCACGTGGCCGAGAAACCAATAGTAAGATGTTTCGAAAGATGCGTCAGATGAGATCCAAAGGATTGTCCAATTTCGCTGAAGATTATCGCGTAGTGCGCGCAGTAGCATGCGGAATGAATGGTACTTATCATGACTTCGTAAACATTAGCATTGATATCGAGCTCGGATGATTTAGCGGTCTATAGAATTTTCACAATTAGGGTATCGGTGTGGGAGTGAAATATGACCAATCAATCAGCATCTAGCCTAGCTCTGATGGAAATTCGCTATTGGTCAGTCCAGAGAGTTGAGTGGCTCAAGTTCCTTTGCTTTTTTGGGTGAAAGGTTAGGAATTGAACATATTCACGTGCTAAGAACCTGGTTCAATTTGAATGAGCGCACACTCAGTTGTCGCCACGTTTATCAGTAGTTGACGCTCATTACCACTCCTGTCACCCACCATCAACACCTCGCTCCCTTGATCGTTTGCCAGTGATGACTGCAACGAAGTTGGGACATTTGCATTCAGACGCTCCTTATCGTTCCTTATCATTTGTTATCAGTTCATACCGTTCACCATCGGTGTTCCCGTCCCACACCCATGCAATGTGTAGGAGTTAGTGTTTTACTGTCGCCACGAAGGCTACAACGAAATTAGTGGTACTCAAATTCCTAACTTCCTTATCAACTGTTATCAGTTGTTATCACTTTGATCATCCACTATCCGTGTTCCCGTCCCATCCCCTATACCACATGTGATGAGCCAAGGTTCTCTGTTACTGCAAAGGCCGCAACGAAACTGGTGGTATCCACACTTTGACGCCCCTTATCAGTTCTTATCAGTTGCTACCACCTTCTTCCAATCACCCTTCTTGGTCCCTGCCTCACCCCACATAATATTCATGAGTGCGAACATCTTAGGGTCAACGCAAAGGGCGTTGCGAAACTGACGACGTTAGCATTCCGATGCCCCTTATCAGCCCTTATCATTTGCTATCACTTTCCTTCGCTCACCATTTGGGTCCCAGTCCTACCCTACACAATATTCATGAGTGCTAGCAATCCACTGCCAACGCGAACGGCGAAGTTGGTGACATCGGCATTCTGACGCCCGTTATCAGCTTCTATCAGTACTTATCACTTCCCGCCACCCATCATCAGTGTTCACGTCCACCCCCTATATACCCTAGAAGTTTGAGCGCTCTGGGACCAAAGGGAACGAAGTTATGAAATTTCCGGTCAGACAGACAAACACACACACAACCGCTTAGCCGATTATATATAGTAGGATGCTTTTCCGTAAAAATTAATTATTTTCCCTGGTACATTCGGTGAGAGTGCTTAACCGTTTTTATGGGTGTGCTTTAGTGCGCTGATTTTCTTCAGCAGTCAGTCTCCTCTCAGGTGCTCAGCATGAAGGACGTAGTGGCATTCTCCCCTGGTCTTATGTGAATAGCAGACGTTCCGAAGGCTAGTTCTGTTCTAGTCAATGCCCAAAGGTAGTCGAAAAAGCACTATCTTGAGATTTATAAACACACCTGAAATGTTGAGAATACTGTATTGAAAAAAATACGGCAGACATTCGATTGAGGGAGATGATCAAGTGAGAGAAGATGACAATATCATAGCAGATCAGTAAAATGGTACCAACATAACTAGAATTTTCTTTCATAACGTCAACATCACTGAAATAATATTAGATTGGGTAGTATGCCGGTGAGTTTTCTCCATGAATTACTAAATAGATCATATGGATTGCGAATTTTCGGGATTGGAGCCCTTAGGTGCAATGGTTTTTTCGCCAAGGAGGGGTCCGAGGTGCATCACAACTCATGAACGCGGCCGGTTTTTGATCCTCTAATTAAGAGATTGGGCAGAAAGCAGCTAGAGAATCAGGGAGTTATTCGGATGCTATTGGGACTCTGCTGATATCACTACACTCACAAATATCTGAAAAGGGGTGTCCTTCAAGGTACCCTTTTCAAAACATTTTCTTGCATATTGTATGGTCCACAAAAGCATGTTTCGTTTTTGCCAAACGGTTTGATTAGCACTAAAAAGTGTGAGGGTACTGCCACTGGTTCGATCCCCCGTGGCGACTAAATTTTGCATTTGGGTTGGCGCCTACGGGTTGGTGCCAAATCGCGCTAAATATCAAAATCAGATGTCATATTCATCGTCAGGACCATTTTGAAGCCAACAAGTGGCCGCCAACCTTGATTGCAAAATTTTGTCGCCACGGGGAATCGAACCATTGACAGTACCTTGCACTTTTTTGATACTACTAGAAGCGTTTAGCGAAAACGAAACATGGTTTGTGATCCATACATGCGTCCCTATAAAATGAGGAAACCGTTTAGAAAAAAGCACGATTTCTGAAAGACCCTTTTCTAACGATAAGGCTATCACTAACATATACTCTGCTTGCGAGATAGCGCGTCGAGTGCATAATAAGCAACACAAGTGCGAGGGCTTTTATGAAACATACCATATATTTCATAAAATAAGCGCTAGCTACTAGACAAGCGCTAGTTTCTCGTGAAAACACGTAAATTGCGCAAGCTGGCGCCAGCTAGCGTCACCTTGTCAGACCCTTGTTTACCAAATCTAGGTCAACTTCTGTGAAGGAGTATATGGACTCCATATTACAATTATGATATTAATTTTTGGAGCCAGCGTTATTTTACGTCAATTTTCTACTCGCCTGTGCTCTCCCTCTGGGTAGATCGGAAATATGTGCTGAGCAACGCCACTGCCAAAAACGAATGTCATTTTCGTAATCAGGGCATCGAATTATCTTTATATCTGAGTTAAGGCAGTCTGTAAGTGTATGCACGTACACTACATGATTGGTGGTATTTTTACGAGACACTAGCCAGGGCCGGTCTTCCGGAAAGCGGGGTTTTTTTTGCCAATGGTGATAAGCCGATTGCAGTTTTATTCTATCAGTTTTACCAATTACTATTACCTTATTACCTATCAGCTTTCGCTATGAAGCACATATCAGATTTATAATGCTGGATGTTGCCGTCACTTGTGTTGAGGGTCTGCACTCGACTTGTTTCTAGTCCTCAGGAGCGAAGGTATTCATGATTTACGTTTGAGGACTCATTATCGATCGTTGCTTCCCATTTTATCTTATTCGTCTCCACCTCCCTCTATCATTCTATTATTTATGCACATACTTGCGAGTTTTGAACGTAATTTTAGTTATTTTAGAGGAAGCTAGCATTCATACTAGCTATTTAATATTAGGTTGTCCCATAATTAGTGAATCACTTTACATTTATTGTTATTAAAAATCCAAGAAAAATGGTGAAGGCGTGAAACATGTTTTGCGAAGTAGCATCCACATTATCCTACCTGAGCAATTACTCAGCCCATTTACATGCTGCCTTCCGTGGCTGATATTTCAATTTTTCTGGAACCTATTTTTGAGCTCCCTTCTTAATCACTTCTGATTAGGATCTTTCAAACGCCCAACAACATAGAGAATCAACCAGCAGATAGGCGAGGGCACGCTCCCTCAATCCACGGTCTGCTTGTAGTTCACTCTATCGAGAGGTTGGCTTTTTTAGTTGAAGATGACCCACACTCCAACTACCCCTCAACTGGCAATCTCACTGCTGTACCCAGCGCCACTGAGGGTGGATCTGGACAAACTAGTCGCCATTTGCTAGAGCATGTCCGACTTGTTAAAATGAATGTAGACATCTACGTAGAGTTGTAAAGATTTTAAAATATTTAGTTTGTATCTTGTATGCTTGAGCCCGAAACAGCTCCACACACGATCTGACATCATCATGTTCCTTCTGATCTCCCTTAGTTCCTTACAGTGATCATCCAGCATATTCACCAGGGTTCTGGACTGCGTGAAGTGTACTAGCAAATCTCCGAGGAGCAGTAGCCAGCGTGAACGATTCGGGAGTTCTGACAGCAAAAGCCAAACCTCATTCTAGTCCGACCCTTCAGAGATATTGGTGGAGCACGAGAGTGACCATGCGCTGGGAACCGCCGCCCAGTAATACTTAGGGTCACTGGAGAATATATACCATTATCCACTCCAAAGTGGACCTTATTCAATTGACTCAGGACTTTTTTCATTTCGACCCGGCTTTTTTTCAATGACCTGTGGACATTTTTCATTTCGACCCGGCTTTTTTTCACTGGACCGTGGACATTTTTCATTTCGACCCGGCTTTTTTTCACTGGACCGTGGACATTTTTCATTTCGACCCGGCTTTTTTTCATTCATTTAGGACACTTTTCAAAACATTGGTGAGATTTTTCAGATCAAACTGGACACATCTTCTAGAATGTCAAATAACATTTTTCGCTGAATTTGGGGGAGGCGTGGAAAGAAAGGGAGCGGGGATGTGCTGAGATGTTCAAATCCTGGAACAAAAACTGAAAATCTCTCATTGGAACTCTAATCTGCCCCATACACGTTTGTTTCAGCGATCCTCTTTTCTTCATCGAACCTTCTCTAGGATCGTCCCGAGTATTTGAATCCCTTCCCTTATGCGACCTTGTTCTTGCAATGTTTCTGTCTCAAGGGATCAATACGCATACAATGGTGAACGAAAGCGCCAAATGTGATCAGGGGATGGCTGAGTCATTCAGGGGGGGGGAAGTGAAGGGGAGACCGGGTGCGCGGGAGCAGGGAGGGTGCGGCGTTTACCGGTCCTCGTGCACCTGATGGTGAAATTTGACGGACCGCGGCAGCTGAACATGCCCTCGTAAATTGAACTTGTGTTTGTTCGCGCTGTGTTTTCAGCGTGTGGAGGAGGGAAAGACCATTTGTTTACGCGGAAAGAGGAGAGGCGGTGGACGAGTAGAGATGGTTGCGCCGGATATTAGTTGTTTCTTGCGAAGTGGTTGTGGTTTGGAGTTGAAAAAGAATGCCCGACCGCGGAGGAGATGAGGAAGGCGTGTAGCGGGCTCATGGTGTAGCGAATGCTGCTTGAAGTGAGAAAAAATTGCATCTGGAGAAGAAGAAAGGGGGGGAAAGTCATTGGAAAAGAGAAGGGGGGGGGGGGGGGGGGGGGGGGGGGGGGGGGGGGGGGGGGGGGGGGGGGGGGGGGGGGGGGGGGGGGGGGGGGGGGGGGGGGGGGGGGGGGGGGGGGGGGGGGGGGGGGGGGGGGGGGGGGGGGGGGGGGGGGGGGGGGGGGGGGGGGGGGGGGGGGGGGGGGGGGGGGGGGGGGGGGGGGGGGGGGGGGGGGGGGGGGGGGGGGGGGGGGGGGGGGGGGGGGGGGGGGGGGGGGGTGTTGTGCGGGTGTGTGTGGTGTGGTTGTGTGGGTGTGTGTGTGTGTGTGTCGGTCTTGGCGTGTTTGGCCTGGCGGGGTTCGGGAAACAAGGGGGTGGCTTATGAAATGAAGAATGTCTACGGTCATTTGAAAAAGATTCGAGTTGTATTGAAAACTGTCCACGGTTCATTGAAAAAAAGCCGGGTCGAAATGAAAAACGTCCTGAGCTATTTGAAAAATCTCCGGGTCGAATTGAAAAATGTCCACGATTTTTTGCAAAACAGCAACTTTGATTTGAACGATGTCCATTTTCAAGTGGAAATGGTATATCAACATCTACAGCGGTATGCCTACACGTTCAATTTGATAGTAAACAAGACACGGCGACGTTCCAATTTGAAAGTAAAGCAAGACAAAGTCTGCTTTTTTCCTGAGGTCGTTCGACCCACCTTGCGGAGAATATTCATAAAAAATTGGAGACTCTCAGGCTAGCCGTTCTTTCACTTCCTCTGTGTGGCCCTATCCTCGTGCCAACAAGAGGCAACTCAGTTTGACCTCTAGCGCTCTTCCCCAGGAAGAAATTGTTACGCTAAGTGACATGACCTCAGATCTTTTCGATCAATAGCTCCTGGAATTCTAGAGATAAGACAGCGACTAAATTTCCTTGTATAGGCAATACATTGTAGATGACAGAGGTGTATGTTTGGATGAGCAAAGACTCCACATAAAAAAGAAAAAAATTTGAATTCAAAAATACCCAAAGTGATTCACTAATTATGGGACAACAATAGTATGCCACATAACCCGAGATGAAATGCTCAACACTTCTTTCGAGGAAACGTCATCGGCCCTCGTTAGCACGCTGTACCACGGCAGGCGCTAGAAAGCTATAGAATAGCTGATACAGTTAGCGATGAAAACCGAATTGGGCCTTCGAAAATCGCAGAGGGGAACGATCTGGATTCGCTATTGCGAATCCTTCAAATATATATGAATGGTTCATTTACATAAATTCGGGGAGTAATGAGAAGTTTGCTGTTCGGGGGCCCTTACTTTTCCCTGTACTTCAGCTTTCACTGTGGAATGAGGGGTGAAATGTATTCAACGATAAGATGATACCAACACTTACAAGTAGACCATGGGGACGTAATAGAACGCGAACAAAGCACATAGGATTGTTTCACCGGTGGATTGACTGGCTGTTAGTCGTCCAAACGAATTGTTGAGTGTCGGGAGAGTTCGGGAGAACAGTGCCACCAATAGGTTACAAAGGGTGCCAGGCAAAGCTATCTGAAATCATTTCATAGACAATTATTTCATTTGTTCATTAGTTCATTGCTATTACCATTTTTACACATGGTACGATTGTCAAAACTGTCCCATTGACGTGTCTGGGCTCATATGATGGAAGCCATTTTAACTTGACCACACCTGCTTTTCTTCAGAGGGGAGTAATTAGAGGTCAGGGTGTTCTCAAGGTGATAACAAATTGCTGCATGGAACGTACCAAAAAGGCCCCGCGAATCCCGCGTTAGTTAAGGAGAGATCGGTTGTTTCTTTGAACGGCCACCTTTTTATGCTCTAAAATCATTTTCAGGGACAAAAAGAAGGCTCTCTCACTGCCCTCACTGTCTTCAGAAATTTACGTCATTTCTCATCGCCGTCCAGCTCAAGGAAGCCCATCATGGTTGCTCCATCTTAAGGCTGGAGTAACTCCTTATATCAATTTACAGGTGGGTTGTTTTCTAGAGACAATAGCTCTAAATGCGAGGCCCTTTCCGATCAGTTTTTTCAGATAATTCCGTAGTGGTGTACGACCCTTCAAGGTATCGATGGGCTCAAACCGCAAACCTTGTTCCGTGACAAATTTTCTGATGTTGGCAGTTTGGAAGCTATTCGATCGGTTGGGATGTGCTTTCAAGTTTCAGTTCAGGTCATCTGACTCGAACATACCAAAGTGCACTGAATTCCTTTTTGAATGAGGAGGAAGAGTCTCTTATGAAAAGGTGTATAGAACTGCAAGTAAATTCAGAATTATGGAAACTTTCGTCTTCCTATGAGCTTTGAAGATTTTTTTTCGGGAGAGTTCATATACCTGAAGGTAATGTAGCAGGACTCGAATATGCCTCAAATAGGGGATCGTTTTGCCATTTCATGGATTCGGCCGGGAATGGCGCGCATGTGTTTGAATCATAGTTTGCTTGAGAAAATGGGAGCATTCGGTGGTGAACGATTAAGGCACCCCATTCGCTTGACATACATCCTGAATCGTGGACGCATATAGCTAGGATGATCCTTTGGAATGACTTGTCATAGCCATTGTATTTTATATGAATGAATATAAATACAAAAGTGAGAAATCTTACCGTCAATATAATTATTGCAGCTAATTGTCGTTCTCGAATGGCTACTGCTCGCTCTGCGAGCTCCGTGGTTGAGTTGTTCATGCTGTTGAGGATACGACAATATAATTTTTAACTATGACCATTTCCACGGGTTGATAAGAGTAACGACAACAAATACAATACAGGTTGGTAGTTTTGATGATCCTACTCGACTGCCCCCATCCACACTTTATCAAATTTAATGATTAAAGGAATCCTTCACGGAAAAATCATGATTCTATTTCAGCCATAAATCACTGGCTTGAGACTCATTATCCACGATAAGAATGAAAAGAACAGAAATTGCTTTTGTTTTGGTAAAAAATTCGAAAAATCGAAAGGGCTGCTACGCGTTCAAGTCACAAATGCTGGCGACGGGAATGCTTCCACTTGGTTCTTGGAGTGCCTTCACTAGAAACTCTTTCTGGCCTTTTGACTTATTGCATTCACATCTCACACTTCTACTGCATCCTATTCTATCGATCGATTTGTCTCTACTCTCCAAAATCGCACGCTTTAACCCGATTCTTTCATTGCGTCGCCTGATACGTAGCCGCCCCAGTGCGGACTTATCTCTTATAGTGGATTTTAATTTGTTTCTCTTCGGAAACCGAACCTTCATGCGTAAACTTTGTGTATTGCATCCTAGTGATCACAACTGACACATTCATGTTGAGAAAGAATGCAAGAATTTTCCGCGAAGGATTCCTTCAAACACAACGTAGCAGCTAAATGTTGGCGGCCTCTTACCGTATTTTAATGACAATCAACAGATTTATTACAGGGATGTGATCATACAATGATAAGAGGGCGACGTGATATTCGAAAAAGTGTGACGGCTCTGTACCTTACCTCCGCTGCCCTTCAATGTTATGTTCCATTTCTGTTTTGACAGGGTGGATTCGATTGATTGAGCTTGATTGAGTTATCCCATTGAGCAAAGCTTATGCCACAGTCACCACGACGTAACTGCGTCTTTAGAAAATGAGGTTCGAGGCGAGAAGATCAAAAAATAGTGAAAGGATCTGCTGAAGATGCAAACATCTAGGGTACCCTGTTCTGGAACGCTAAACGAATGCTACGGTCTAAAGAAACTGGGTAGGGGCAAAAGAGATACTAGAAAGAGCTTTGAAGATGAGCGGTGCGCAACAACACGCCACATAAACCGTTCCATAGCAGGGAGCATCTTCGCCCCAACACTTCCGGCCCGACGTTACGATGACCTAGTGAACACACGTTTCCCATCTTTGAGGATAGTCAATCTGAGAGAAGTTATTATTTCAACCAGACTCTCAAATAAGACCTTAACTCCAAGAACCGGTACAGCTGAGGAACGTATAAGATGATATAAGCAACGAAATGAATGCAATGGTTGAGTCTTCGCTCTACTACAATGAAAAGGTTGCAACAAAAGGACAAAGTTTGAAGAGTTCGATGTTGGAGGTAGGAAACTTTTCTGCGAGGAGGTTGCGATAAGCATCCAAGCGGGGTGCTTTTGATCCCCTAGAAGGAGCTCTGCCGAGATAATATGAAAAGTTACAAAGGAGTGGTGATTTCAATATATTGTTGTTCTATGAGGTTCTGAGAGGCAACTGGAACATGTTGTTCCAAAAGTAATATCGCTCCCATGTGATTGGTTATCTTTCTTTCTTTCTTCATGGTTGCATTCAATGTTTCATGAAGATTGGTTGAACCACTAAGCACAGCACCCGTATTACAGAGGCACGTTTTTTCACAAGCAAAAGCCGCTTTGAAAATACAACCATTTGTCAGTTCTAATTTTACAAACCAAACGAAGCAAATTAAGTTTATGTGTAATTATCGTATGTTTACAAGTAGGAGGCCTTCTCCTGGGGCCGGGTGCAGCAAGCCCCGACGAGGGGATGGGTAACCATCTCCTCATCCCCATCCCCTCAGCGGGTCCAAAAGTTTGGGGATATGTCCCCAAGGTTGGATCCCAACCTTGGGGACATATCCCCAACCTTGACGGTCGCGGGCTTTGGTCGGGTAGAAAATCTGTAGGAAAGCAGTCGAACCATGGATGAATCGTCGGAAGAAAAACCTACAGCCGTACAGATGTAAAACGCAAAACGGACGCAACGGTCCAAGCCTTGATGAGCCTTCATGTTAGGCATATTAGGAAATGTGATACCCATGTTTCACTCCTTAATTGTGATGCTCTGTTGCTCAGTATGGTAGCCACCACAGTGAAGCTCATTATCGCCCACCCATCAGTGCCTGCCCTAACTTTATGAGCACTCCCAAGTCAAGCGACGCAAAGCATTTCGTCGATTTGTAAAAGGTTGGTACAAGTAATACGACAATTTCTTATAGGAATAGTCTTGCGATGCTCCTTGACAATTCCAATAGCAAATTGTCAGAACAATGTACAGGTGTGAAGAAGTGGAGGGTTCGCCCCTGTTCATACTATTTAGCCACACTGTTTTCCAGCAAAAAAAATAGATATAGAAAAAACTAATAAATGGAGCTGGCCACTACCGCAGAAAAGCGACACTTTCTGAAGAAGAGATGGGACTTCTACAACGTGTGATTTCCTTTGCGGCTGTTATTACATCTGTTATTGTTGTTACCGATCACCGTAATTGCTCTTCTATAGTAGATTCCAAACGTTAACTAGCAATTACATGATTACGCTTTTGCTAGAAAAACGTCTGGCCAGGACCGACGATACGCATTCGAATTCGGATGACACATATAACAGTTATTTTCGGTTACCACCTTTTCGTGAACGGCCACTGCACAGACGATTTCCTTGCCAAGGAATACGATTCAAACTAGGGGACGTCAGCCCATAGGTTCTGCTTAGCGTTTAATTTTAGAAAATCAAACCAAGCCATCCGTAATATCCAAGGCTGTTCTTCAAGTCAGAAAACTGGAATCGTATTTTTGGGTGAAATCCCGTGTGCTGAAATAAGATATCTGTCTGATCAACCCCCTTGGCGCAGTATGGAACACTTGTACTTCTACTAATGTGACCTTGAGGAAGAGAATCAACTCAAAAACTCAACATCTAATGATGTATCCGGAAGAGGTTTTATGGTGGAATTGTGACGCATATGAACACAATTCCGATTACCTACGTAACGATTCAGTCTGGAAAAGCAACAATTTTTTATTTTCTTGTCTAACAAACGTCGTGCTGCCTATCTTGCAAAATCATACCTCCACCACATATTTTTTCTCCGTGTTTTATTATAATGGCAAATGCAAAACCGTTGCCAGACTTCTTAAAAGAAGAATCTTTTCAAAAGTGGCGCAAGGGTTTGGTCAGGGTCTTTGCTAGGAATGAATTTCCTCGGGGATTCTGCAGGATATGATAATTGGTATTCGGATGATATTCCGGTTACTATCCGACCGAGATGAGCGCAGTATAATCACTTCATTATATAAACCAGAACTTTGGTGTGTCGGTTTGTCGGTGTGTGTGTCGTTCTGTCCGTCCGGACCAACCGCTCACAAAACCAGGGAGTACGAAGGGCAACACTTCGTGATGTTGATGTCATGATCATGATAACACCCACAGCGGCTATATAAACACCGATCGAGCACACTCAGTCTCATTCTACATGGTGCTGCCGTGGCAGCCGGAGAGACAGGGGGGAGGATAGAAGGGGGGGGGGTGGAGAGGATGCAGGGAGGGAGAACAACCGCTTTCAAGAGGAAGGGCTATATCCGTGTTGACGTATTACTCTAACGTGATGTTGTGATTCTGATAACACCCACAACGGCTATATAAACACCGATCGAGCACACTCACGATCAGTCTCATTCTATTATACACTGAAGGAAGGACCACAGCGGAAGACGTGGGAACAATCTGGTAAGAAATTAATACAATGAAAATAAGTCGGGTATGGAAATCAAAACTTCATTGAAGGTTAATGACTGATTAGACGCAGTTTAATGTGTTTTCTTGAATGTTCTTGGTAACTCAAGCCTGGAGACAAAGGAAAACACTTTCTTCTGAAACGAAATCGTTGAGAAAAACAAGCTATTTTCTTTAAAGAAGTTTTTTCATGTCGAGTGAGCTGAGGACTCTTTTTATCGGTGATTGAAGTCCCAGACCATACACCTGGTCTTTTTCTTCTCCATATATGATTGACGAAGAGGAAAGAAACGCTTTGCGAAAGAAAGAAAAATAGAGAGAAACACACAAGTTAAAGGACGAATTCACGATCAGAGGGAAAATCGAATTAGGAAGAATTCACCTGGTTGAGGGACCCGCGGAGCTCCTAAGTGTGCGAACTGAAGCACAATTTGCACAGGAGGAGTTGACCTCGTTGACCTATTAAGGTTTAATCCCGCCGCGGCTGGTCAGTGCACGCCCACCGATCATCTGATCACTCGCCGCAGGTCTATACGTGGTGAGTGATTAGATAGGTGAGAGAGCGTAGTGTTGAAGAGGGCACAGCGATGATAGTCGCATCAATGCTCAAATCAACGGGCAAGGAAGGGGTCCCATTTCTCGGGTTCTGGGCCGTTTCTCATGGTTCTTCCTTCTTTCGTGTACCACTCACCATCCCTAAGTTAATTTGAAATGGGTTGCCTTTCCATCGTGAATTCGTCCTTTAAAAATGGCAATTGAAAGAGTATCATTATCGCTCCACTTGGTGAAGCTTTCTAATAAAAAAGGCTTGTTCTTTCTGATTTTTTTCATGAAAGTATGTACTTATTTTCTAGACATGGTTTATCATTGACGTTCTGGCGAACTTCATCCGTAGGGAAATTAACTTCTGAAGAAGTTTTGTTCGTGTACCCAACTTATTAGAGGTAATTAAATACGACTAATTTCTAGCGCGAATTGATGCTTCGACAATGGTTGCAAATCTTTGACTGAAATTTCCTTTTTTCGAAGGAGTGGCAGCAGCTTTCCCTTTTCCATCTCTATGGAACTGATAGGTATGATAACTGCGAAATTTCGTCGCGCAAAATTCAAATGCAGCGGAGAAACATGTGGTGGAGGTTTGATTCGCGGAATAGACAACGAGCTTTTTCAAAAAATGAAGATGAAAACATTTTCATACCCGGCCGCGTATTTTCTTTTTCTAGACGCATTCGTCATTTAAAGCAACAGTCCAAGGAGGGTTTCAACCAATTCAATCCTGAGGTGTGGAAGCATGCCCCAGCCCAAGTTCATAGGAACTGTCACTGAATTAAAAACTTACCTTTGAAATGCGTAGGAAGGGCTCGAACTTCTTCGAAAAGGGCGGGTCCACCGAGCCTCGGTGGAGCCGCCCCCTTGCTGCTGTGAAGAGCGCGTAGTTGATTGGCGGTCGTTGCGGGACCGCCGGGACTATTTGAGGTCGATCCTTTAAAGCAATCGATGTAGTGATGCCGACAACGCTGAAATTTTTTTCCTTCTACCTTCTACCTTCAAAACATGAAACGATCCCATTATTGCGCCCCAATTGCAATAGCTGGCACCCACAACTTCATTATCGGTGGATTTTGCTCGCGAATTCGTTCTTGGACTGTTGTTTTAAGTCTCCGACCTGCGTTGGACCGACCTCGCTCAGACGATAGAGAATGATGCAATCTGTTTCATTATGGAGCTCTCCCTTAGGTGACTCCCTAGTCCAATTCAGGTAGACGCAGCAGAAGCTAATATGTGGCGGATGCTGTTTTCGATTTGCGATGGATTCTGATATATTTTCACTCTTAGAGTTTTTACTAAACTATTCTACACCATGAGTTTTGGTGCCAAGATTTTGTTCGAGAGCTAATTTTGGCTTGAGTCGCGACGATGACAACGGGAGCCTTGATTTTTCAATTTCTTGTATATTTCTTGAACCGGCTCAATAACTGTACACGGACATGTATTCATACATATTTCTTTGCATAATTTAATGATATGTATGTTCATATTGCATCATTGCTACATGCAAGATCATTGCAGTTTTTTTAATTACTTTTCATGTGCATAAATACAGCGGATGAATTACTGCAGGTTTAAAGGAATCTTCCACGGAAAGAGTGATCATTTTGTCTTGTGTGTAGGATTAGTATTATCGAAACTAACGCTTATGTTCCGTTCTTTTTGCTATGCTCATGAGGCTAGGGGCCTAAGGTATCGTTTTTCTGTGGTAATGGAGGCGGAGCTTTTTCCGTGGAAGATTCCTTTAAGTCAAATACGAGCAAAAAATGGAAAAATGCGCACATTTTCTCAACAGCTTTAAAGGCAAGATTCGGGATAAAATAGGTGTCTAAAAGCGTTCAGTCATGATACTAGAGGTGGGAGGTGGTCTATAAAAGAGAAGGAAAGCAAACGAAACCACCGATTACGCCCCGTACAGAGACCTCCCCTATTTCAGCCACATTCCACCTTGGGATAGAGAAAAGGCGCGTTGGACGAGTTTCACGAACCTAACTCTAGTTGCTCCAGTGCCAATGACATTGGTCGCAATGGGACCGCTGCCTCAAATGCGCCCGCGCTTTTCAAGCAGCGCCACGTGGCAACCGACAGCGGAGGGTGGGGCTTGCGGACGAAGGTGTGAGTTGCGGGTCGGACGAGCTCCTTGCGCCTTTGTCGCGCACTTTCAAGCAAAAGGGGCGCGACATCAACACTTGTCCGCCTGCCTACTACCCCGGGATGGAACAGGCGAGCGCGCCTAATCGCGGAGCGTGCCTTTAAGGACGAATTCACGATGAAAAAGCAACCCATTTCAAATTAACCTAGGGATGGTGAGTGGTACAAGAAGGAAAACCATGAGAAACGGCCCAGAACCCGAGAAATGGGACCCCTTCCTTGCCCGTTGATTTGCGCATTGATGCGACTCTCATCGCTGTGCCCTCTTCAACACTACGCTCTCTCTGCTATCTAATCACTCGCCACGTATAGACCTGCGGCGAGTGATTAGATAGTCGGTGGGCGTACCCCGCCAACCGCGCCAAGAGTGAGCCATGCTAGGTCGCCGAGGTCAAAGCGCGTCAGTCTGCACTCTACGGAGATTTGCCTGTCTCCCAACTATGCGGTTTTCTCCTTCTTTGACCTTCATTCTTGCTTGAATGAATTCCTCCTTTGAAGTATTATATAGGGGGCGTTATGTGTGGTGAAGATAGAAGATTGATTAACGTGAACAGTTCCACTGGATACTGAGCTGGTTTTGTTCAGTGTTCGGAGCGGTCAAGTGCACACGAAAATGTTCATAGTGAGTCTCGGTTACATATAATTCAAACAGCATCAACTTCAACAAGTCTGTTGATGGGAACGAGCCGCCATCTTGAGGTTGCTTGAGTGTTGCGAGGCTTCAGAAGCGACGCCATCTATAGCGAAGACTCTCGACGAATTGGTGCCTGAAATTTCTTCAGAATCATGTAAAGTGATGAAAGCTGAATTACTATACTTGAGTACATATTCCGTGTCGGCTAGATGCTAATGTTCTACAACCTACTTCCTACTTATTTTCTGCTAGCAGAGCATGTAGTACTGAAACACGGAAGTAAGCGACTTCCAGTGACCTAATAGTTCTTGTACTCAACTCTAGAATCAAAGATTTTTGGACTATCCGTTGAAGCCTAGAGCTTTGATGCGAATGGGGCCAACAATTAATTAGAACTTGACTGAATATCTCAAGCTGTACGCATGAGGCTCATTCAGCAGCCTCTGAGACTACGTGCATATACAGGGGGGGGGGGGGGGCAAAAAAAAAAGACATTTTGCCCATGTCGCACTTCGGCCTTTTTTCTTCGCAGAGATTGCCGTCGTTGACGGAAGTTCCTCAGCAAAATATTCCCTAAATGTCCCTCTATAAGTACACGCAGGCCCTCCTTCACTACCCTCACCGTCTTCAGAATATGACGTCATCTGTCACCGTCGTCGAGCTCAGGGAGGCCTACAGTAACTGCTTCAGCCTGAAGCTCTTACATAATTTCTTGGATCGATTCAACGTGGGATAGTTTCCTAGGGACATTAGCTCTAACTATGCAAACCCCGGAACCCGCCCTTCGGAACCCGTCGTAACGGTACACGATCAGTCGAGAACCCCATTGAGCTCGACCAGAGCACCATGTTTCCGGGGCAAACTTTTCTGATGCCGTCCACGTAGATGGCCACTATGAAGATTTTCTTATGAAATGAAATGCGCTCTTCAATTCTAAGTTGGGAGCACACGCTTTGAGCTGAGCAAAGTGTGATTAAATCCATTTGAGTCTGGAGACAAAATGTCTTTTTTTATTGCCCCCCTCCCTGTATGTATGCTCCAAAAACTTCACGCTTTTGGATAGATAATACTTGATATGGGCGAAATTCTGAACCTGTTTTTATTTCAGAGACAAAAGAAAAAATTTGTGAGCCCAAGAATTCGATAAGATGATCGACCAAAGCTGCATACTGCATTCAATTCAATGGGACATTTGCGACTGAAGTAGCTAAGCAAAAATATCAGCTAGCAGAAATATCTACATAGCGCTATTTTGCGGCACAAGGGCGCTGCAGAGGACTACTGCCAGTGCCTCTGCACACGTGCACGCATCCTTGTATGCCTAGCGTTGCACTGGTGTCTGCGTCACGCTTGTTCCCTATTCACTCCTGTTGTCGAGTCCAATCTTTCGCTCCGGCGCCTCATAGTATGTTTTTCTCTCACCAGCTTTAACTTCGCATAGAACATTAGATGGAGACCTGGTGAAACATAACATAAGCCATTTCAGTCCAATTCAGTCAAGAGTCAACGGCGGATTGCGCTAGTGAAAACTTGTGGCATTCGTGACTGTTTACTCAGAAATCCATTCCAAGATTCATGGAAATTTCGAAGCCTCCTGGTAACGCTCGCTTGCTAACCGCAGGAAAGAGGGCTCGGCCCTATTGTACTATTACAACCCCAGTAGGGTGAGACGGTCAAAAATTTTTCGCTGAAACTTCTGCTATGGGGGTTATCGAGGGTCCTGATCACGAATATGACATCATTTTTGGCGCTGGCGCCAAATTGGCGCCATTTGGCGCCAGTGGCGCCACGACTGATTTCACCAAATTCGCTGTAAACTTTCTGTATATAGGGGTTATTTGGGCCCTGATTACGAATATGACATTCGTTTTGTTCGTTAGCGCTCTAGCGCCTATTATTTCCTGCTCGTCTGCGCCCTCGCACTTATTGCATCGCAATCAGGACTAAGCCCTTGAACAGTGGAGGGCTCCA